TCAGTCTGGACTCGGATCAGTCTGGACCTGGATCAGTCTGGACTCAGATCAGTCTGGACCTGGATCAGTTTGGACCCTGATCAGTCTGGACTCGGATCAGTCTGGACCCGGATCTGTTTGGACCCGGATCAGTCTGGACTCGGATCAGTTTGGACCCTGATCAGTCTGGACCCGGATCTGTTTGGACCTGGATCAGTCTGGACCTGGATCAGTCTGGACTCGGATCAGTCTGGACCCGGATCTGTTTGGACCTGGATCAGTCTGGACCTGGATCAGTCTGGACCTGGATCAGTCTGGACTCGGATCAGTCTGGACCTGGATCAGTCTGGACCCGGATCAGTCTGGACCTGGATCAGTCTGGACTCGGATCAGTCTGGACTCGGATCAGTCTGGACCCGGATCAGTCTGGACCTGGATCAGTCTGGACCTGGATCAGTCTGGACTCGGATCAGTCTGGACTCGGATCAGTCTGGACCTGGATCAGTCTGGACCTGGATAAGTCTGGACTCGGATCAGTCTGGACCCGGATCAGTCTGGACCTGGATCAGTCTGGACCTGGATCAGTCTGGACTCGGATCAGTCTGGACCTGGATCAGTCTGGACCTGGATCAGTCTGGACTCAGATAAGTCTGGACCTGGATCAGTCTGGACTCAGATCAGTCTGGATTCGGATCAGTCTGGACCTGGATCAGTCTGGACCTGGATCAGTTTGGACCCGGATCAGTCTGGACCTGCATCAGTCTGGGCCTGGATCAGTCTGGACTCAGATCAGTCTGGACCCGGATCAGTCTGGACTCGGATCAGTCTGGACCTGGATCAGTCTGGACCTGGATCAGTCTGGACTCAGATCAGTCTGGACCTGGATCAGTCTGGACCTGGATCAGTCTGGACCTGGATCAGTTTGGACCTGGATCAGTCTGGACCTGGATCAGTCTGGACCTGGATCAGTCTGGACTCGGATCAGTATGGACCTGGATCAGTTTGGACCTGGATCAGTCTGGACTCGGATCAGTCTGGACTCGGATCAGTCTGGACACGGATCAGTCTGGACCTGGATGAGTCTGGACCTGGATCAGTCTGGACTCGGATCAGTTTGGACTCATATCAGTCTGGACCCGGATCAGTCTGGACTCGGATCAGTTTGGACCTGGATCAGTCTGGACCTGGATCAGTCTGGACTCAGATCAGTCTGGACCTGGATCAGTCTGGACCTGGATCAGTCTGGACTCGGATCAGTTTGGACTCATATCAGTCTGGACCCGGATCAGTCTGGACCTGGATCAGTCTGGACTCGGATCAGTCTGGACTCATATCAGTCTGGACCC